GGGGGGAGGGAATGTATTAAACTTTCAGGCAGTTGTCTCACCTCTAGTTTGGCCAGTGACAGGGTGTAAGCATTCTGCAGTTCCCTTAGATGTCCCTCGGCCTCAGCAACATCCACCCCCATATTGGTGTGCTTCAGCACAGTCTGTCGCAGGTGCTTGTTCTCCAGACGGAGAGCCTCTAGCTGGGCATTGGTCACCTGACAAGTACAGAACTGAGACATTCACTAAAATATAATATAAATCTTACTAGGTTGCAAAACAGCGCATTTTCTCCATCTATAAGTATACTGTGATCTTTTACCTCCTAATGCTACAAAGATCATCTTGTCACCTCCACAACCCTTCCTATGATAGATACCGACCTGTAGCTCTGCAGCTCGTCTCTCATGGGCCCTGTCCTCCTCCCGAGACTGTTTCTCCATGCTGGCGGCTTTCTCACTCAGAGCTGCCATGGCAACGTTCCTCTGGTGGAGTTCCTCCGTCACTGCCTGCAGCTCTTTCCTCATCCCCTCCAGCTGAGAGGAGTGGGTGGTCTCCAGCACCTGAAGCTTGTCCTTCATCTAGAAAGTGACATTATTTATGATGTTAAGAGAAGTGTTTGTTGTCCTTCCCTTTTACTTTCCTTGTGAAGCACGTCAGTTTTTTGAAACAGTAACTGACTGCACTGCTTTCAACTTTGACTCAAAAAGCAACTGACTGTGCAGTTTTAAATCATGACAAAAGCATCCACTATTCAAGGTGACTAACAGGAGTTGATAGGCCACAGTTTTACCAGTCAAGTTATAAAGTCTGGATATAACTGCAAGCACCATTATTTACATATTTCATATCAGGTTGTTTCTCATCTCTGTTAAAACTACAATCATTACCATTTTTCCTTACCTTGGCCACTTCCAGGTTGACATGTTTGATATCAGAGGTATCCTGGCTTCTTACAGCATCAAACTGAAATAAAATACAAAACAAAGAGATAACATTCGTATTCTTTAAACAAGTCAATAATGCCCATAGCATCAAATGTTTATATTATTGATGAAAATATTACATATTAGAAAAGGGTTTAACTTAGTTAATGGCCAAAAAATATAACAGAGACTTACATCTCTTTAAAAACAACTAAAATATTTACATGACTTTGGACGTAAGTTTAACCTAGTTAAGACATGATTTTGGGTTGTAAGAAAAATTGTAGGAAGAAAAGGCTCAGTGGATTGTGGGCCATTTAAGTTGGAAAAGCAACACCGAAAAAAAAATAGGATATCTGATATCTACCTTATTCTTCAACTTTTCTGTCAAATCTACACACTGGGTCTGAGAGGCATGAAGTTTCTTCTGCAGAAGCTGGAACTCCTCCGTCAATCTTTTCTCATTCTTTTTATGTGACCTGGAATAACCAGAGATAACTTGAGCATGTTAGGGTACAAATAACACACCCTGTAACCCTAAGCTTCCCATTAATTCTGGGACATTTTTGGGCTGTACTCAACTCCTTGTCAAACTGAATATGCCGAATACCATAGTAAAATCCCATCACAGAGTAAGTTGTGAAAGTGTGTTTGGTGTGAATTCATGCAAAGTGTGGCAGAATGTTAGGTTCGATAATGTGTTAGATGTGACAATGTGTTAGATATGACAGTGTGTTAGATGTGACAGT